TGTTGTTGCTGTTGGTGTTGTTGCTGTTGTTGTTGTTGTTGTTGTTGTGGTTGTTGTTGTTGTTGTGGTTGTTGTTTGTGTTGTTGTGCTTGTTATTCGTGTTGTTGCTGTTACTGTTGTTGTTGTTACTGTTGCTGTTGTTGTTGTTGTTGTTGTTGTTGTTGTTGTTGTTGTTGGCTATCCGTTTGGGTTGGGACCCCCTGCAAGCCAGACCCTCCGCATCCTCGGTCCCCATGGCCCCCTGGACGTGTTTGCAGAGAGCCCCCTGGGACTTCTTGGCATCTTGAGCTAGCCAGCGGGCTCAAAGCGGTGGGGATGGTGGCCAAACGGGCCCTCGAGAGCCCCAAGCGGCCCCTGACACCCATCAGACGCCCGAAGAGGGCCTGCGGAAAGTCCAAGAGGGCCGAAGATTGCCCAACATGGCCCAACGAGAGCCACAAGACAGCCCGAAATGGCCCCCAAGACGTCCCCAGAAGCACCCGAAATCGTTACCTGGTCGTTGAGTGATGGCAGTGGTTCACAGCAAGGTGGCCCGAGGAAGCCCTCAGAGGCCTCCGAAAGGCGTCTGGCAGTCTCCAGAATCTACAGTCTGAAGACGGTTTCGCGAGGCCCCCACGAGGCCGTACAATTTGAGCAGGACGTGGAAGGGTTCGTTGGGTAAGGCGGCAGGCGAGAACGAGGACGAGGACAAGGAATACGTATGATGGACGGGAAAGGAAACAACGGCAACGATCACGGCAAGAAAGAGTTATCGCTGTTGTTAGTTCTGTGTATCTCCCATTTCGGCAGCATGCCGGAATTGAATGACCACGTTGCATTGTGCGAAGCGCCAGCGCATTCTTGTGTCTATGGTTATATGTAAACAGCGATGAGGAGGGAGAGAGAGAGAGAGAGAGAGAGAAACCGAGAGGTAGAGAGAGAGAGAGAGAACACGAGACATATGGAAAGAGAGAGAGAGGAACAACACCTAACATAGAACGTGCGACAGAGAGAGAGAGAGAAGGAGAGAGAGAGAGAGAGAGAAATAACGAGAGAGAGAGAGAGAGATAGAGAGCGAGAGAGAGAGAGAGAGAGATAGAGAGCGAGCGAGAGAGAGAGAGAGAGAGAGAGAAAACAAACAAAAAAAAACAGCAAGCAAGGGCGCGCATGGACGCCCAGGCGACTGGTGGAGCGCCTCGCCGAGGGGCTGGAGGTCGCCTCCGAAGAGGACGAGGACGGGGCCGGGCGGGCGGGCGGGCGGCGGCGAGCAGGAGAAGGCGGAAGAGGCGCCTGCCTCGCATTCCTTGGCGTGAGGCGGGGGGGGGGCGGGGCGGCTTCCGGGGCTGCCTGACGGTGGATGTCCCCCTCCTCGCCCCTTCGAGCGGATGGTAGTTCACGGGGGAGGCCGCTGACACCAACTGCCCGCCTACATGAGAAGGGGGGAGGCGGGGCAGGAGAAGGAGGACGAGGAGGAGAAGAACACGGAGGAGGAGGAGGAGGAGGAGCAGGAGGAGTAGGAGTAAGAGAAGGAGGAGGAGGAGGAGGAGGAGGAGGAGGAGGAGGAGGAGGAGGGGCAGTAGGCAGAGGGTCAGGATGATAGGAAAGCGGAGAGGTATGGGGTAGATGGTCAGTGAACATGGGGAGGGAGGAGTAGGAGGAAGAGGAGGAGGAGGAGGAGGAGGAGGAGGGAGGAGGAGGAGGAGGAGGAGGAGGAGGAGAGGAGGAGGAGGAGGAGGATGGGTGGGGGGGGGGGGGTGCACGACGAGGCGTCAGATGAGGAAGAACAAGGAGGAGGAGGAGAAGGGGGAAGCTGAGGTGGAGGTGAAGGACGCGTTGTGATGAGGAGACCGATGAGGGTGAGGGCACGGACGACGAAGTAGATAGAGGAACACCAACATTGAACAAGCATGTGGAGGCAGAGGCGAAGGTGGGAGGGTGAGCAGGAGGAGGAGGACTAGGAGAAGGAGGAAATGGAGGAGAAGCGAGGGCGCCCAAGAGAGCGATACGGAGAGCTAATAGGAAGTATGTGAGGTGGAGGTGGAGGGGGAGGGTGAAGAGGAAGCTGGAATGATGATGACGTGAATGCGCCAGGGATGGAGAAGATGAAGAACACGGATGAAGATTGTGTTGGTGACATCGAGGGCCGTTGACATGTTGGCATCCACCCGCTGAGGCAGGGTCGGTGCGAAGTATGGCCTCGCTGTTCGATGAACCACTTCGAATCCATCCTGGCTGCGGCATTGGACAGCCGAGTGCCTTTTGGTCGCCTCTTGGGTCGTCTTGGCGGCCTCTGAGGTGCTCTCGGGGGCTCGCAGAAGGTCTCCGAAAGTTTGCCTTTCCATTCTTGGGGCTGCCTTCGGGGGTACAGCCAGACCAAGGACAGAGAAGCATCCTTCAGGAACATGAGGCCCTCCGCCGGCCCAAACCGAGGAACCTTCGAGGGCGCGCTCTCCGTGATGCACAAGAGCATCCAGCAACCATGAAGAACATGAGGGCACCCTCACCGAAGCGACCTCGATCTTATACCTCGGGCCGGTCACATCGTGGGCTGCCTTGAGCGCGCCTTCGGAGCGCGGCGGGCCGTCTCGAGGCCCCCTTCGGCCGTCGAGCCCTCTGGGGGGGCTTCCTGGGCCCTGCTGATCTCGCGGGCCTGTTGGGCCATCTTGGGTTGCCGCATGCCCGAACAAAACTCAAACAAGATTCAAGAGCTCACGGCCATCAATTCTTTGTGCTTGTCGGGGCCCTTTGGGGGTCCTGCTGGGGCGCTATTGAGCCGTCTTCGACTAAACGTAAGAGTGACCTTTCGCAGGAGTGACCTTTGGCGCGGGCACAGATGGGTGCCCAGATGGCCGAAAACAAAGCAGCAGCAGCAGCAGCTACTGGCGACCCCAGGTTCGGTCCCCCTGCGGCCCCCAGAAAGCCGCGCTCCAAAGGTCACTCTTACCCAGGGACACTCTTGCGTATAGCCGACGTTTGAGGTCTTCTTGAGCCGGCTCGAGCCAGTTCTGGGCCACCTGGGAGCGTTCTTGGGGCGTCTCGAGACCTCTTAGGCTGCCTTGGAGCTGCCTCGGGGCGCTCCTGGGGCTGCAGTCGGGGTCGTGAATCCCGCGCCCGATAGTCTCGGCATCGCTGACGAGGGCTTGCCTGGACCTTGTATGGGGTATTTCGACTCCAAGGATCCCCTGGGGCCGCCACGCGCGCCCAGACTGGCAATACATACACGTACTTCAAGCCTGTTGCCAGAGATTCTAGCGCGTCGTCGGCCCGTTGATCAGGCGAAATGTAGGATGGCATTCGCAGTTCTGTTTATTTAGGTACATGTTGTGTGCCGCAGGGCAGTCAACAATGAATCGAGTATGGCGCAGAGGTGGCGACACATACGAGGTCTGTATGATACATGTGCACATCGCAGGCATCAGCTCTCACCGGCACCCGAGCACGCAGACATTCGCTACGTCTGCATGCTCGAGCACACTCTTTGAGCATCAGTTCGTCGTTTGAGTCGAGCGCTCGAGTGGATATGCATGATCATGAGACTTCACAGTCGTACTTGGAAGCCCTGATACGTTTCGGTCCTGAGGCCAAGGCGGAGAAATTGGCCTACAGAGGAGCGCGAGGGCAGCCGACTCTGACCAACATACCAGGACACTTGGCTTCCGAGCCAGTTGCAGATGAAGGGGGGGGCCGCGTGGCACATACGAGGGATGCTCCCTGCAGAGAGTGGGACTCCACGCGTCCGCGCCCACAATCGCAATCGCTCCCTCGCAAGATCACCCGCATAATGAAAGGGAGCACACTGCTCCTTATTTGTCCGCGCTTGCTTTCCGGATCCATGCTGGAGGAGCAGGGCGAGGGGCAGTATAGGAGGAGCTGTATGAGGATCATCAGGGGCACCAGAAGCAAAAGGAAGGGGAATCTGATGATGAGGAGCCATGGCATGGTTTCGCTTTCCCTTCGAGGCAGTTCTTGAAATAGCGTAGGGTCTGGCGGGTAGCTTCGGATGTTCTGGGTCGATATCCGGTATCCGCGCGGTTTCTGGTGCCTTTGGAGTGAATTGGGGGGGCCCAGCCCCCCGCAGCCGACACACGACCCCCAAATTTACCCAGCCCATCTCAGGAAATCCATGCGAAACTGTTTCCGATGACGAGAAAGCCAACGTCTCAAGAGGACAAGCAGGAGGAGCGGGGTTTTCCAGAGGTGGTCTTCGCTCCAAGCGCCCTCAGCTTTTTCGCGCCATTGGGGGCCCCCATGGACGCTCGTCGGCTTTGGCACGCAATGGAGGCCATCTGCCCCGCCCCCCCCCCGAAGAGCTCGCAGGGCCAGGGCCGCTTCTTGCAGCATCCAGTGGGGAGCATCCTGCAGGGAGCAGGACTCCACGCTTATGTGCCCACAATTTCAATCGCTCCCTCGCGAGATCCCCCACGCTTGGAATCCCCAGGAACGCCCGTCGGCCTCGTTGTCACGCCCTGGAGGCCAGCTGCCTCCCCCCCCCAAAAAAGGGCTGGCCGGACCAGGGCCATTTCTTGCAGCATCCAGCGGGGAGCATCCCGCATGCTCCCGCGCAGCACCGCACGACGCTCCGCGGCGCTCGTGGGTCAGGGCTGTCGTCCTGTCGCCCGCGCGGCATCACAACACCCAAAATGAGCGTGAGAAGAGACGGCGTCAGGCCCCGCGCTCCTCAGGCCCGACCTCTGACCCCACGGGTCCCCCCCTCAATCCTCTCACGTCCCTCCTGCCCCTCTCTCACCAGTCCTCCTCTTTCTCCTCCTCCTCCTCCTCCTCCTCCTCCTCCTCCACTGATCCCCCTCAGATTCCCCCCTCCTCTTGCAGCCTCAACTTGTTTTAAGCGTCCAGCGATTATCCTGATTATCCGCCCCGCCCACCCCCTCCCTCTCCCTCCCTGGATGACCCGTCGTCGTCTGTTGCGCAGGTCCGAAGGGGGTCGCATCACTGGGTGCGCGTATGCATACATACGTGACGCGCCGGCCCAGAGCGAACAGGTTAGGCCATCGGTCACCCACCGGATAGCTTCGGATTGGTGCCGGAAAAACAAGTCTCAAGGGGAGCCCTCTTTCAGCCATCTTGGGCGCTCCGACTCCTCGCGGTGGGCCCCGTCCAGACCCAGGGCCAGGTCCAGGGGAGGAGCAGGCCCTGCGTCGAGGGGGAAGCAGGGGGTTGGAGCAGAATGCGCCTTGAGCTCGGAGACTGCTGGGGGGTCTGCGCTGGACGGGCCCCGAGAACATTTGGGTCAGCAGGGAGGGGGGGGCATTTCCGCTCAAGATCTGTTTCTGGACCCATCCTGGGGTCGAAGCTCCCCTCCTTCCCTCCCTCTCTCCCTCCCTCCCTCCCACCCTCCCTCCCTCCCTCCCTCAGAAAACTGACCAGTCCGTTTTCCGAACCGCGCCCAGCCGCGGCGACGAGGCGGCCCCCCTTCTCCTTCCCCCTTCTGCTGGCTGGAGCCAGCGCCGGGCCACCTCGGCCCCCCAGCCAGCTCCAAACCTCCTGCCCTCCTTCACCTCCTGCTCCTGCTCCTGCTCCTCCTGCTCCTCCTCCTCCTCCTCCTCCTCCTCCTGCCCTCCTCCTTCACTTCCTGCTCCAAACCTTAATCCACTCACGGCCCAAAGGGCTGGCGGAAATGAGCGCGAGGTAAATTGTGGGCGAAACAATTATGTCCGTATCCGCGGCCTCGCGGCCCAGGCCCCTGGGCCGCGATCCCGCGGATACGGGGCGTCTGATTGTTCGGAAGCCGCTCGCCGAACGTACCCGTGCGACCGCGCCGCGCATCCGCGAGTCGCGCCCGGGAATCCAGACCGCGAGGGCGCGGATACGGATATGTTCAGCTACGCGGAAGAGCGACCTTTCGCCGGATTGACCTTTGGTGCGGGTTCACTGGGATCCCCTGGTCGATAAACTCGCTCGTGCACTTGGACTTTCGCCCCTGTCGCGGCCCCCTCAAGCCCCGCTCTTTGGGTCGCGTTTGCCCAGGACCACCCTGTCGTGTAGTCGATCTGGTCGCCCCTCGCGAGGTGGGGGAGGCAGAGGATTCCGGCAGCGAGGGCAGGAGTGACGCTGTGCTTTCGCCCCTGAGGCGCGCCGCGGGTGAGGCTCCCGCGTCCTGCCTCAAGAGTGCACAACGGGGACCTGGCGGCCCGCTCGGAACGGAGAGAGAGAGAAAGAGAGAGAGAAGGATACACACATATACGTAGCACCCCGCAGTTGCTGATAAGGGTACATGTTTGCATACTTAGATCGATCTATCTGTATATATGTGTATCTAGATATATACACATATCAGTACACGCATCAGTGTGTATAACTATGGACTCTTGCTTGCTCTACCCGAGGGTGCTGGCGCGTTGGCAGGCTGGTCCATGCCGCGGTCCCAGCCCCGGCGGCGGCAGACGCGCGCGCGCAAGCGGCGCTCGGCGGGCGAGGCCCGACGAGCAAATGGGAAGGACCTCGCGCATGCCATCAAGCAGTGGCGAGGCGTCCTGGCGTGCTTATAGGCCTACCAAACAATGTTCTAAGAACCTTTTGTGGTTTCCACGAACTGTTCTTGGAACATTTCTGCCAGGGATTGTCCTGTTCCAACACATGCCAAGGCCGTCCACGTACACCTAGGCCTCCTAGATGGGGTCGGAATATATGGGGTCGGAGGATCGCGCCGCATCGCCGATACATCGGCGATGCGGCTCGATGTGCAGCCTGATTTGCTTCACGTCGACGTCGACGATGCATCGCCCACGTCGCCGGTGCATCGCCGGTGCATCGTCGGTGCATCGCCGATGCATGCATCGCCGATACATCGCCGATGTATCGGCGATGCGGCTCCGACCCCATCTAGGAGGCCTCCAGTACCTAGTACAAAGCAAACCTAGCTGTGGTAGTACGGGTAAAAGCGAGTAGCTGACGAATCTCTGTCCTGAGGCGACGCTATATCCGCAAGAAGTCACGACCCTCTAAGTCAGCGATCGGCATTGCAGACGAAGTACAAAATGGACCGCGCTGGCAACGTCTGAAATTTCGAATCATGTTTCACAACGTACGTTCACTGGGCATTGGCACGCGACCAGTGCTCTGTCAATGCTATTCTGGACGTTGCGAATTCATGTCCCAGGGGCCCACGAACTGCCGAAAGGTCCGCGCACTCCAGCTCGTAGACACCACAATCCGCGCGTCATCCTGGCTGCTCGGCACAGACGCGAGAAGGGGATAGTAGACACGAGTGATGCCAGTGTGCGCCGCATAGACAGACCCGCCTCTGCATGGTGTGGCCAGACTGGCCTTGTGAGAGTTTCTCTCGCCACGTGTCGGCACACGTACAGTGACGACAGTCGCGACGAGGAGCCAGAGAGAGAGAGAGAGAACCCCCCAAAAAAAACAGAGAGCGAGAGAACGAGAGAGAGAGAGAGAGAGAATGAAACAGAAAGACAGAGAACGAGAGAGACAGAACTGGGGGGGGAGAGAGAGAGAGAGAGAGAGAGAGAGAGAAACAACAACAGAGAAATACACTGATGGCGAACATACATTTAACTATTGACAACAAGGGGTGAGACGGGGGAGTGGGACAGAGAGGGAGAGGCAGAGAGAGACGAAGTGAGACAGAGAGAGAGAGAAAGACAGACAGAGGGAGAAACATAAAGAGATAACTAGAGAGATGAAGAGAGAGAGAGAGAGAGAGAGAGAGCGAGAGAGAACCCGAGAGAGGGAGAGAGAGAGAGAGAGAGATTCGCGGACGTATGGGGATACACATCTATACGTAGTTGTGTACATCATACGATTCTTATATCTGTTTAGACATGGATAGAGAGAGAAAGAGAGAGAGAGAGATAGAGACCGAGAGGGAGAGGGAGAGAAAGAGAGAGAGAGAGAGAGATGGAGAGGGAAGATAGAGAGAGAGAGACAGAGAGAAAATGAGACAGAGAGACAGAGGGAGAGAGGCAGCACATGTGCAGACGTGCGCTTGAATTCTGCAGATTCGCATGATGGTCAAGTTGTGATGTACGCACCTGGTACTGAGATTTGACTGCGAAGATCACCCCTTGGGTGACAAGGGAGTTTGTGGGGGAGTGTTTTTACAGATTTCGAGTTGCGATCGGTGTCGGGGCGGACCCGCAGCCTACCCATCTAGCGACTTGCGCACCTACTCACAATTACCATCATCGATCGGTCTCACAATGTATTCGTCGATGCGCACTACCAGTTAATGTCAGCCAGCCTGGGCCCCAGACAGTAACCCCTTGCACTATATGCGGCGCAGTCTTGGTGGTGCGATCAATTTGATGCAATCTAGGTGATGCAAAACATGTGGTGCAATCCCTGTGGCCCAAAGCAACGCAAATCACCGCAACGCAGCGCAGACCAACACAACGCAATACAAAGCAATGCTGGGCACTACAAAGCAGTGCAAATCAACGACAAGCAATGCAACGCAAATCGTAGCAATGCAACGCAACGCGAAGCAACGCAAAGTACCGCCGTGCAACGCCATGCAAGGCAATGCGGTGCAACGCACTGCAAAGCAATGTAAAGCAATGCACGCTATGCAATGCAACGCAACGCATCGCAATGCAACACAATGCAACGCAATGCGAAGCAATGCAAAGTACTGCGAACCACTGCAGAGCAATGCAATGCAATGCAACGCAACGCCAAGCAGTGCGAAGCAATGTAACGCAATGCCAAGCAATGCGAAGAAATGCGCAGCGGGCGGCGACGAGGCGGGCCGCGACGAGGCGGCGACGGCGACCACCTAGCCGCCAGACCGACGGGCAGGCCCAGAGCGACGGGGCGTTGACGGCGACCACATTGCCGCCAGACCGACGGACAGGCCCAGAAGACGGGCGGCGACGAGGCAGCGATGGGGAGGCGACGGCGACCACATAGCTGCCATATCGACGGGCAGGCCCTGTTCTGGCAGGCCCTGTTCTGTAGAAAGGAAGGACGAACCCCCAACTGCGATCATGGTCTAGGAAATATATCGGTAGTTGTTCCTGTCGACATCATCATCACTATGTACATCGATACCAGTACATAGAAACCGATACCTATACGGGCGAGAAGGAGGCTGGGGGGGGGGGATTGAGATCAAATGCCCACCCTGACTGACCTCCAGCCTGTCACCTTGATCTCATCTCTCTCTCTCTCTCTATCTGTCTCTCTCTCTCTCTCTCCCTCTCTATCAGACTCCCTCCACCACACTGATGATCGCGATGACGATGAGATCCCACTATCTACCTATCCGTCGACCGACAAGATGGATTGGATTGGCCCGCCGCAGGCGCAGAAACAAATGAATTGATGGATTGGGTTGGATGGATTGGATCGAGTGGGATAAGATGAGGTGGGACAAGATGGTTTGGGTAAGATAAGATGTATTGGATTGGACAAGATGGAGTGGATAATATGAGCTGGGTTGGATAAGAAAGCCCACCGCAGACGCCGACAACAATGAATTGATGGATAGGGTTGGGTGGATTGGATTGGATGGGATAAGATGGATTGGATAAGATAACATGGTTTGGAAAAGGAACAAAGATTGGATAGTACAAGATGGATTCAATTGGCCCGCCGCAGGTGCAGAAACAAATGAATTGATGGATTGGGTTGGGTGGACTGGATTGGGAGGGGAAATATGTGATGGGACAACATGGGTTGGATAAGATAAGATGGATTGGATTGGACAAGATGGAATAGATAAGATGAGCTTGATTTGATATGAAAGCCCGCCGCAGGCGCCGAACAACAATGAATTATGAAAGTAGCGACATGCTTTAGCGCCGGGACACCCGGGACACCCGGGACTACGGGGACACCGCCCGGCTCATTTGGGATACCTCCCGGCCACCGGCGGACGGGAAACGGATTTCCGCGCCTTTTGACACCCGGGACACCCAGGACACCGCCCGGCCCAGCGGGGACACCTCCCAGCCACTGGCGGACGGGAACGGACTTTCGCTCTTATTTTGGCTTAGCTACAGGAGGATCGCGCGCAGCTCCGCCTCGCCCGCACGCACGGCACGAACACGAATCCGAAACCGATTTCCTGGTGGGGGGTCTCCGTTTCACTGCGATCTCACCCCCCAATCTCCGATCATTACGTGCGGGTCTCGTTACATATAGACCGATCTCAGTGTCATTTCGCACATCGATCTCATTATCACAAGGCCGCTGTACGGCTTTATCGGTTTCGCCAGTTATCGACCGATCTGACCGTAGATCTGTAGATCACAAACAAACATACATATACACTTGTGCCACGATTTTTCCACCAAGCTTGCGACAGGTCTCATTATCTACTTGCTAATCCCATCACCAGCCTATCCATCGAAGTCACATCATTTGCCTGGCCATCATTTTGCCGCGTTCGCGGTCAATCGATCGATATCACTACCGAATCATCGGTCTCACCATTTATCGGCTGTCTGATACAAGTCAACGGAAACACCAGAAACACCATGACAACCACGGGACAACCACGGCAGATTTACGGGACAACCCAGGAACAATCACATGACAATTGCGGGACAACCACGGGACCACCACGCGACCACCACGCGACAACCACCACGCGACAAGCACGGGATAATCTCGGTACAAGTTGTATCTTTCGTTCACTTTATCAACCTACAGATTTATATATCAAGCCATCAGACATCTATGTATATGTTTGTTGTCTATCTTCCCAACTACCCACTCATCGGACTCCTTCTCAATCGATATCACGATCAATATGTCTATGGATCGCATTGTCTATTTGTCGTTCAAACTGTCATTTGGTCCCACTATCAAGTGGTCTCACGATCTCTCGGCCTCACATTGAAAATCATTGACAATCTCATGACAGCCACGGGCCAACTACGGTACAACCCCAGGAGATCCTTGCAGCAACCGCAGGACAACACGCGAGACAACCACGGGACAACTACAAGACGGCCACGGGACAACCTCGGGACAATCTTTGAACAACCACGGGACAACCGCTAGACATTTACGGGACAGCCACGGGACAACCACGTGACAACCTTTGGACAACTGCGGGTCAACCGCGGGACAACCCTGGCACAAGTACCGGAGAACCTTTGGCCAACTGGGCTCGGGGTTCCAGAGACGGGGGTCAATGCAAACGGGGGTCAGCCAGGGCACCGGATCCTGCAGGAACCTGCGAAGACCCCCTCTGGCTGACCCGGGTTAGCGAGCCGCTCGTGGCCGCGAGGCGGCCGCGAATATTGGTTGACCCGGGTTTGCGAAGCCCTGCATTTCAGTTTGTTTTCTTGCATTGCAGTTTTTTGGTTTCCTGCTAACTGGATTGACCCGGGTCACAAGATCCCCGATGGGCTCCCCTGCGCGCAAACAGGGTCGAAGCAATCTGATGTCAACCACCCCTAGCCAGGGCAAGATCTCTCTCGTCCTCGCGCAGCTTCGCCTCGCCCACACGCACGTCACGCTCGACTCGAAACGACATTGAATTCGCCTTTCCAGTGGGGGGGACAGAACTCCGTATTACTTTGATCTCCACCCCCAACATCCAATATTATAGACGGTCCCACAGCCTATGCCGTGAGCGGTGTTATTGAATTCGTGCATGTTGTTTATCTTTGAGATGATTGGCTCGATGTGTGCTTCTGGTGTGATGTCCCTCACCCTGTTCCTTTGCCCAGGTGTTCTTCCAACTGTCTGGTGTCTGAGCAGGATCTGAAGGGTGAACATGCGAAAGCACTTACTGTCAGACGTGAGCACATGCCTCCTCGCTACGATTGGTGCGAACTGATAGGACTTCTTGCTGGGGATGTGCACTTGTCCTGTATGCCTGACATCTGGATGGGTCAAGCGGACCACTTCCAGTGCCAGGCCTTGCTGGTGACACTCGCCTCACTGGTCCTGTCGCCGGGCGCACGTGGCAACTTTCTCAGCGAGCTCCTGGTGCGAGCACGTTCGCACAAGGTGCGTCTCACGTTGCGTGCGGGACTCTCCCACGCCCTGCCTTGGTACCGGACCGGCATGTATTCTCCGGCATGTTTCCTCAGGCGCGGTTGGCGGGACACGCAGCGTCAGAAACAGAGTCCGGGACACGCGCCAGCGTCGGGGTGGCCATGCAGGTGAGGGTTCTGCTATCGCTTCGAGGGAAGGCAGCTGAACGGAACACGACAGCGGGGTCGGTCTCGGTCTGTTCCTTCTTTCGCGGCAGTTGTGCATTGTGCCTTGCACGCGCCGTTCCCGAATATTGTGGCTCGCCAGTCCTCCGCTTGCGGGGATGTTTTGGCCGAAGACGGGGTGGTGGATTGAGGCAATCCGTGGTCCAAGAGCTTCGTCACGGATGCCCAAGGTCGAGGAAGAGGAGAGCCAGGAGGAGGAGGAGGAGGAGGAGGAGAAGGAGGAAAAGGGGGAACAAAAACGAGGGAGGAAGGAGGAGGGATGAGGGAGGAGGGAGGAGGGAGGAGAGAGGAGGGAGAAGGAGGAGGAGGAGGAGCATGAGGAGAAGGAGGCGGAGGAGGAGGAGGAGGTGGGATGACAGGGAGGAGGGACGCCCCAGACCTAAGGCTAGGGAGGAGGAGGAGGAGGAGGACGTGGATGAGGAGGACGGGGAGGAGGAGGAGGATCAGTGTAAACCCAGTTGTCATCAACGATGCTGGAATCAACTCTCCCTCGATGCTCCTCCCTCTTCATCGGCCGCTACAACGGTTCATTTCCACTAAGGGAACTGCCTCGTTGGAAGACAACCGTTTGAAGACCCTGAAGCATGCCAAAACATTGTTTTCTGGATTCCAACGCCACGGATCAACCTGACTGTTGCGTCTTGACGATCCCGAGTCGTGCTAGAACGCCATGCTTGGGACGTCAACACCGCGAATCGAAGTAATTGTTGCACCCTCCGAGTCCTGAGCCCTTCCAAAACACCCGTGTCTGCTACGCTGATTATGCGAACCCGTGAGATTATTGCAATTTGTTGAATCGAATGTGCGCGGCGATGAAGCGAGAACCACACTTTGAAAAGGAACCTCCCTCAATACGGGACATTCTTGCAGGGAAGAAAAAACGAATGTACGCGGCGCTTAGGCGAGAGCCACATGTTGAAAACCACCCGCCCTCAATCAGGGAAACTCTGGCATTCTTTGTAACGAATGTGCACGGCGCTGAGACGAGAGCCACACTTTGAAAACCACCCGCCCTCGATTCGTGAAGCTCTTGCAATTTTCAAGATAGAATGTGCGCGGCGCTAAGGCGAGAGCCACATTTTGAAAACCACCCGCCTTCAATCCGTGAAGCTCGTATATGTTCTTTACAACGAATGTGCGCGGCGCTTAGGCAAGAACCACATTCTGAAAACGACCCGCCCTCCAGTCGTGAAGCTGTTGCCAGTTGGTGAGCTTCAGGGTCCTAAATGGTGGGTCTCAGGCGAAATGCCCGGCCCGCCCTCAAAGCTGGCCTCGGAGTGCGGCAGGGAGAAGCGATTCATATGGAAGAGGAATGGAGGAGGAATGGAGGAGGAGGAGGCAGAGGAGGAGGAGGAAGGAGGAGGAGGAGGAGGAGGAAGGAGCAGGAGGATGAGGAAGGAATGGAGGAGGAGGAGGAATAGAGGAGGAGCAGGAATGGAGGAGGAGGAAGGAGGAGGAGGAGGAGGAGGAAGGAGCAGGAGGACGAGGGGGACCCCCCCCCCCGCCGCGACGCGGGAGCGCGGCCCGCATTGCGCTGGGCCAGAGCTCCCCGGGGGGGCCGCTGCGGCCTCCGCGCGGGCGTGCGCGCTGTCGGCCCCGCGCCCCCGCGAGCAGCAGCGGCGGCGCCGCCACGGCCAGCCGCCGGCGCCGCCCTGTGTCGGAGGGCACCAGCCAGGGGGCCAGGCGAACCCTACTCCTACCCCTCAGAAGTCGTGGGGGGTAGGGGTGGGTTTCGCATGTGGCCCTACACTTTTTGGTCGGCGGGGCGAGAGCGAACCTCTTCCGCCAAAAGCTAGGCGGGCTACGCACAGATTTCATTAGGGAGACAGGGCACAGGACATGCGAAGCCTACACCTACCCCTCAGAAGTCGTGGGGGGTGGGGGGTGGGGTTCGCATGTGGCCCCCTGCCAGCTTCGAGGAAGAAAAATCGGCATGAACATACACTTGTGGCGCTCCGCGCGGATTTCTCGGATCCGTGCGGGGCCCCCCGGCGGCGCCTCCGGCACCGCTCCTGGCGCGTTCCGCGCGGCAGGGAGGGGGGTCCAGCGCAGATCCACGAAGGCCGCGCGGATCGTCCAAAGTTGATGTTCATGGCGATTTGTCTTTTTCTACAGCCTCAAGTCGGGCATGTCCCTCTACAGGAGGAATATCCAAGAAGAGTAACAAAGTAGTGTGGTGACGATTGTCATGTTATCCTTGGGCTATTTTGGATCATTTGTTGAGTCTTTCTTTCTTCCAGAACCCGCTTGTAGGAGGACATGCCCGACCTAGCACTATCTGTTCGAGCAGTGGCGAAGCGTCCTGGCTCGCTTATAGGCCCACCAGCGAGTGTTCTAAGAGCCTCTTGAGGTTTGCTCAAGACATTCTTAAACCATGTCTGGCTGAGACCGCATTGGCTCAGCGCACTGCCTCAGACTCCCAAGACACTTCTGGCTGAGGCCGTCTTGGCTGAACATACCGCCTGCGTGCCATAGGAAGCCGCGCTCTTGTTCGCAGAACACTTGCCTGATCTGAGTACATCTCGTGGCAAGTCGTATAGGAACCCCGGGCCTGGCCGGTTTCTGCTCAAAGCTGCGCGCCTGTCCAGGGCGGGTGTACATGTAAGTCGGGCGCGTCCCTCTACAGGAGGGATCTTCAAAAATAGTGGAAAAATAGTCGGGGGACGATTTTTTGATCACGTCTGGATATGTTTGAATATATTTCGGAGTACAGTCGACCCGCAGAGTAAGGATTGGCATCCCTCCCAAGGGTACCCTTGCGTCCTTGCTTCCTGGGTCCATCCTTGGACACTTTCGTTGGCCGCGCCCCGCTCGAAACGCTTCGAGATGGGCGTCCAAGGGCCTTGCATCCTTATCGCGCACCCGTACACTCTGCGGGTTGACTGTATTTTCTATTTGTCGAACCAAATCCGCCTGCAGGGGGGGACATGCCCGACCTGAGTGTACACGCAGGGCCTCCCCGAGCCGGCGCGCCGCTCCGGGGCCCGGACCCGGCGCGTCCTGGTCAGAGAGGGGCCCGGCCTGGAGCGGTGCAGCCCGAGAGGTCCGACGCGGCAAGGACTCAGTCGGCCATGTCCCTCTACAGTCGGGGGCGGCCAAGAGGGGGGTGATGACTAGGGGTGTGTGGGTATCATGCCGGGGGCCATGCTATTTCCTCAGATTTCATGGCGCCTCTTCTTGTTTCATTACGTCCCTGGCCCCCCCCCGCTGGCCCGCGCACATGCCGCCCGTCATGATTTGCACCCCCCCTCTTGGACACCCCCCTCTTGGCCGCTCCCGATCTACAGGAGGAGCATTCGAAAATAGTCAAAATAGTCTGGGGACGATTTTTGTTGATTATGGTTGTCCCATTTTCGAATATGCTTGAATATTTGTTCCGTCCAGAATCCGCATGCAGGAGGACATGCCAGATCTAAGGCAACGAACATGCAGCGTCGCAAAAATTCACGACCAGAGCCCCAAAGTCCCCAGCGGGATCTAATGGGAGGCACTTCTCGAGCCGGACCGATCTGTGAGGGGCTTGCCTCGAGCCCGAGACTGGGCGAACAAGCCCAGGGTGAAAAAACGACGACACGTAAGAGTGACTGTTCGCTGGGGTGACCTTTGGTGCGGGCTCACTGGGGCCCCCCAGGATCGCTGAGCACGATGCGATAGCGGCTGCTGCGCGCTTGGATTTGGCCACCTTGCGCCCCCTTAGCCCGCACACTGAAGGTCACTCTTGCCTGGGGTCGGGATCCCGCACAGCGGGGGGGTGCCCCGGTGAGTGTGTGTGTGTGTGTATAACTTCGATCGATTTTTGCACCGAACAGCCCAAAACAGATGCCCCCCAGCCTCCCGCAACTCCCGATAGCTGCCGATCGGTGGGCATGCGGGGGGCACCTGTTTGCGGCAGTCCGGTGCACCAGCGGATCGAACTCATGGCACCCTTCTCGGGCGAAGAGAATTATGCACATGCACCGATCCTGACAACGTCCATCCTCGACCCAGGATCGGTGCATATACCTTCCTGGCCAAGGTAAGAGGGCGTATGCACCGATCCCAGGCCCAGGGTGGGCCTGGCCAGAATCGATGTATGTGCATAGTTCTCTTTCCTCTACCTTCAGGGTCACCTCCCCCTTTGGTGCTGGTTCCCGGTAGGGCCACTCCAGCGCGTAGGTCGGGGGCCCCCAAACGGTGCGGTGACGACACCGTGTGGTGAGTCGGTGGGGATTCGGGGTCACCGCACGGTTTTGGGACTCGGGTCGGTCTTCGAGGACGTCTCGGGCGACTGGGGCCTCCGGGGTCCCGAGACCTTGCGGTGACGGACCGTGCGGTTAGGTCTTGGGGGATTTCGAGGTCACCGCACGGTCTGCCACCGCACCGTCTCGGGACTCCAAAGTAGGCGAACAGCACCAAGACGCCCAGAGCTCAGGCTCGTTGGCGCCCCGGCGCCGTCGCCGACAGCCCTCCGGCACAGGGCGGGGCCCCGCGGCCTCGCGAGGGCCCGCCGCCACGCCCCGGGGGGCACTGCGCGCGCGCGGCGGGCCTTCGCGCGCGCGCCATGGGGCAGGTGGCCGGCGCCCAGTGCGGCCCAGCAGCGCCCGCCGCCGACGCGGAGGCCGAACGGCCCGCGGCCGCGCGTCGTCGCCGTCGTCGTCGTCGTCGTCGTCGCCGCCGCCGCTGTCGCCGTCGTCGTCGTCGTCGTCGTCGTCGTCGTCGTCGTCGTCGTCGCTGCCGCCGCCGCCTTCAACGTCGTCGTCGTCGGTCGTGGTGCCCTCATGGCGCGTCCTGGGGCCCACTTGGGGGCTTCTTGGGCGGCGTGGGGTTATCTTGAAGGCCTTTGGGGCCGCCTTCGGATGTCGGAAACCTGAGAAGGCGAGAACGCGACAATTATTTCACAATCAAAGGAAATCCAGGATTTGGGATTTGGCCTCCTGGAGGTCTTCTTGGAAACCTCTTGGGGCGTCCCGGGGGCTGAGCATCATAGGGGCACAATATCGATGACGCCTACGGCGAGTGTGTGTGTGTGTGTATGGTTGCGTGTTGATGTGAAATCCGTAAGGGCTTCGCCCCCTGCCGCCGGCCCCCTCTCTCGGAGAATGGGCCATGGAAGAGCTAAGTCATGAGGCTTTGGCGCTGTCGCGCAGCAGTATCGGAACTTCATGCGAGGCCGATTCGCAATCGGCAAAACCAACTGATCACAAGAGGGGTTACCACACAGGGCGATTGGTAAGACGTGTATGGTTTACGAGCTTGGTTACCACACCTTGGGATTAAAGGGCCGAGGGAGTACTCGCAGTTTGGGTTACCACGCCTTGCGATGGATGTCCGTGAGGGGTGGCACCGAATTTCAGAAATGTGGCAAATCCCCTGTGTTTTTGGACCCTGACCCCGCGGATCTGCGTGAGGGGTGGCACCGAATTTCAGAAATGTGGCAAATCCCCTGTGTTTTTGGACCCTGACCCCGCGGATCTGCGTGAGGGGTGGCACCGAATTTCAGAAATGTGGCAAATCCCCTGTGTTTTTGGACCCTGACCCCGCGGATCTGCGTGAGGGGTGGCACCGAATTTCAGAAATGTGGCAAATCCCATGTGTTTTTGGACCCTGACCCCGCGGATCTGCGTGAGGGGTGGCACCGAATTTCAGAAATGTGGCAAATCCCATGTGTTTTTGGACCCTGACCCCGCGGATCTGCGTGAGGGGTGGCACCGAATTTCAGAAATGTGGCAAATCCCCTGTGTTTTTGGACCCTGACCCCGCGGATCTGCGTGAGGGGTGGCACCGAATGAAATGTGGTGTTTTTGGACCCTGAACGGAAATGTGAGGGGATGCGCACCGAATTTCAGAAATGTGGCAAATCCCATGTGTTTTTGGACCCTGACCCCGCGGATCTGCGTGAGGGGTGGCACCGAATTTCAGAAATGTGGCAAATCCCATGTGTTTTTGGACCCTGACCCCGCGGATCTGCGTGAGGGGTGGCACCGAATTTCAGAAATGTGGCAAATCCCGTTTGTTTTTGGACCCTGACCCCGCGGATCTGCGTAAGGGGTGTCGATTTCGAGCCCCCCCAGCAATTCAGACAACGCGCCCAGGGGGTGCTAAAAAATTCTGTTTGGGCCTCCCCCCCTCGCGCGGTCAATCAACTAGTTACAGTAACCAGCAAGAAGCAGAATTGTAACACTGGAAACTACACTCTACAACTGGTACTGGAAACTGAGAACCCGCGCCTACAGCCTGGTGGCCCCACAAGGGGGCCGGCGGATTTCGCCCGACCAGTTTGCTGCACTGGCTGCGTGCGCATGTATGCCTGTTGGTGTAACTATGTGCATGTTCATTTCGTTTGTGTGTTCGTGTGTGCGTGCAGTGCCTCCTGGTTGCCACCCATTGGCATACACTCGGTGGTAGTCAGCTAAACGCAACCCGCTTACGCCCTCGCTGGGTTGAGTCAATCAGCCGCGGCAGAAGGGTGTGTGCAGTCTGTGCAATGTGTGTATATGTGTGTGTGTGTTTGTTTGTGTTTGTTTGTGTGTGTGTGTGTGTGCGTGTGTGTGTGTGTGTGCGTGTGCGTGTGTGTGTGCGTGTGTGCGTGTGTGCGTGTGTGCGTGTGTGTGCGTGTGCGTGTGCGTGTGCGTGTGCGTGTGCGTGTGCGTGTGCGTGTGCGTGTGCGTGTGCGTGTGCGTGTGCGTGTGCGTGTGCGTGTGCGTGTGCGTGTGCGTGTGCGTGTGCGTGTGCGTGTGCGTGTGCGTGTGCGTGTGCGTGTGCGTGTGCGTGTGCGTGTGCGTGTGCGTGTGCGTGTGCGTGCGCGTGCGCGTGCGCGCACGCGCACGCGCACGCGCACGCGCACGCGCACGCGCACGCGTGCGCGTGGCACGGCACGCGCGCACGCGCGCACGCGCGCACGCGCGCACGCGCGCACGCGCGCACGCGCGCACGCACGCGCGCACGCGCGCACGCGCACGCGCGCCGCGCGCACGCGCACGTGCACGTGCACGTGCACGTGTGCACGTGCGTGCGTGCGTGCGTGCGTGCGTCAATTGGCGCACATGGGGTGCCGTCGCATCGTTTCGCAATCCAGTCTTCGCGCTCCTCTCCTTTCCCCCTTCCGTCCCCTCTCCTCTCCCGTCCCCGTTCCCTGCCGCAGCCCCCCTCACCCCCCCCCCCCCATCCTCCCCTCTCCCCATCCTCCCCTCCTCCCCCCCCTCCTCCCTTAGCCCCATCCTCCTCCCCCGCTCCCATCCCCCCCCACCCTCCTCCCCCCGCCCTCTTCCACTCTCATTCCTCCCCGCCCCCCCTCCCCCTCTCCCCCTCCCCTGCCGGCGCCGTCCCTTCTCCAGCGTGCCCGCGCGCTCGCGACAGGAGTGCGAGCAGCAGCAGCCCTCGAACTCTGCGGCCGCTGCCCCGCGGACGTCGGGGGGCCCTCTGCAGGAACTTCCGCTCGCAGCGATCCGAGACCGCAGAGTCCTGGTCGCCGCCTTCAGAGGCCTTCGGAGAGCCTTTTTTCGCGCACATGCCGCGAGGGGCTCCCGTACAACCTCCTGTGCGCCCTTGCTGGCGTTCGGGACGGGCCTTTCGCCCTCCTGCGCAGCATTCAGACCGAGGACTTCGCCCACATCAGCCACAGCGGATGCGCTGGGGCTCGAGTGGTCCAATGCGTTCCAGGACGGGCGGCGCCGTCGACCCGCTGACCTTCTATGCCTGCATGGAAGGCTCGACGCTGGATTTTCTAGGCCGCAGACCTGGACATCGGCGTCAGGTTTAGGCTCTAAGGAGGGGTCTCACATGGGGACCCCGTCCCCATATGAGACCCCAGCGTCCCCACATGAGACCCCAGGGTCCCCACATGAGACCCCGGCGTCCCCACATGAGACCGTGTGAGGGCCCCCGATGCCATGGCGAGGGCATGTCTCGGCAGGCGAGGGCACGCCACGTCCTGACCTCACCGCGCGCCTCGCGGCGACCGTCCGGGAGAGGGGGCCTGCTGCCCTCCCGGGCGCTCCTCGCGGAGTGGCCAGGCCTCGAGGCTCTGGCGTTGCGAGCAGATGGCCCGCCGGCCAGTTGACACGCAGACGGCCCAGCATTTCTCGAATCGTCTCGGGGAGGGTCACAGGCGGCCCTCGAGGTGGTGGCGGCCTGGGTGTGGAAGGACCAGGCGACGCCTCACACAGCACCGACCAAGCATGCTTCGAGAGTGGGGCATTCCAGACTGGCCAGAGTAGCATGAAGAGGGGGCACCGAACAGCTCCTTGCTCGATCGTTTAGAGGGAAGGCCTGGAGGCGCACACCAAGACAGCGCACTGCCTTCATAAGCGAAGAGTGTTCCGTCGAGACCTTGCCCAGGCCTTCCCGTCGGCAGCGTCGGAGCAAGCGTTCTGGGGGCAGCGGTCCTTGCCCCGGCTCACAAGCAACCTGGTGATCCTCGGCCGTATCGGGGGCAAGCGTTTTTGGGGCCAAGCGCCAAGACTGCATCTTCTGTGGAGGCAGGACTGGTGTGGCGACCTCCCTGGAGCACCTCGTTGCCCACCGTCACGATTGGGAGAACCTGCGGCACCCGCTCCAGACAGGCGTTGGGGCTACGAACGCCTCCCCCATGTTGGCGATCATCCCCGGCGCGGCGGGCGCGCTGGGCTGATTACGAAGAGGCGGCCGGCTGGGCGCTGGACCTGGGCCGCACTGCGGCCCGCATCTGGGCTGGGAGGCGTTGGAGTCAGCAGCAACAGAAACGTTCTGAAGTCCGCGCGGATCCTTGGACCTGTGCCGGACACCCCCTCCAGGCGGCGCCTCCAGCGCAGCCCTTGGCGCGCTCCTCGCGCCAGGAGGGGGGTCCAGCACCGACCCTTGAAATCCACGCGGGCGTTCGATAGATTATGTATAGTGTACTCCCTCCTCCTCCTCCTGCTCCTCCTCCTCCTCCTCCTCCTCCTACTCCTGCTCCTCCTCCTCCTCCTCCTCTTTCTCCTTCTCCTCCACCTCCTCCTCCTCCTCCTCATCATCATGCACCGTGAGTCTTCGTTCAGCGGCAGGAGGACTCAGGGGGCCCTCGTCGCACTCGGCTGGATTGGATCGATTCCGGCTGCCTTTCGCCGCCGCGTCGGATTTGGCTGAGCGGGGGTCGCGGGGGGTCTCCGCCCGCGCCCGAGGAGCGCCCCCCTCGCCCGAGGAGCGCCGCGACTTCACCAACACAGTCGCCAAGACCTCCCACACCAGCGCCCTGCCGTTTGCGTTGCCGTCCGCCGCGCCGCGTGCCGTGCCGCGCGCTTGCCGTTCCGTGCGCCGTGCCACGTGTCGCGCCGTGTCGCGCCGCCCGCGTCCGGGGCGGGGCACTGAGCACCGGCGGCACGGGAAACCCAGTCGGGCCGGCAGGGCCCGTTTTGCCCATCGTGCCCAGCGCCGTGTCGTCGAGAGGTGAGGGAGGTGCCCTGGCAGGGGGGGTCTCCCTCTCTCCCGAGGCCTGCCCCCGCTTCCCTCGGCACGGTTTTTGGGGCGATGTGGCCTGGAGGCCGTTCCCGATGCTCTGGCCATGGGGCTGGGCCAAGTGGGCGCTCTCCGAAGTCCCGTCCTCGCAAGACCTGCAGTCAGCATATGGGTCACCAGACCGCTCGCTCAATCCTCCCCTCCGCGCCTTCAACCCCCCCCCGACCCTCCTCCCCCCGCCCTCCCCACCTTTCATCGCACCCCCTCCCCCTGCCCCCCCCTTCCCCCCCCTCCCTCTCCCCTGCCGACGCAGTCCGGCCTCCTGCATGCGCGAGCGCGCCCACGAAAGGAGTGCGAGCAGCAGCAGCCCTCGAACTCTGCGGCCGCTGATGCCGCGGACGTCGGGGAGCCTATCCCCGCCGCGCCCCAGCATAAGGAGGAGGGGTTCTGGAGGGGTGACGGGGTAAGGGGGAGGAGGAGGAGGAGGAGGAGGAGGAGGAGGAGGAGGAGGAGGAGGAGGAGGAGCAGGAGCAGGAGCAGGAGCAGGAGCAGGAGCAGGAGCAGGAGCAGGAGCAGGAAGGAGCAGGAGCAGGGGAGCAGAGGAGCAGGAGGAGCAGCAAGAGGAGCAGGAAGAGGAGAGTGAGGAGGAGGAGAAGGAGGAGGAGGAAGAGGAGGAGGAGGAGGGGAGGAGGAGGAGGAGGGGAGATTAGGAGGAGGAGGAGAGGAGGAGGAGGAGGGTGAGGATGAGAGGAGGAGAGATGAGGAGGAGGGAGGAGGAGGAGTAGGAGAGGAGTAGAGGAGGAGGAGGAGGGGGGGGGAGGACAAAGGAGGAGGAGGGGAGAGTAGGAAGGAAAGTGGAGTAGGAACCGGAGGGGGAGGAAGAGGGAGAGAGTAGGCGGAGGAGAGGAGGAGAGGGAGGAGGAGGAGAAGTGACAGGACGGGGAAGACGAGGGAGGAGGAGGAGGAGGAGGATGATGATGAGGAGGATGAGGAGGAGGGGGATGATGGGAGATGATGATGATGATGATGATGTGATGATGATTATGATGATGATGGATGATGATGATGATGATGATGATGAGGATGAGGATGAGGATGATGAGGATGAGGATGGATGAGATGAGGATGATGATGATGATGATGATGATGATGGATGATGATGATGATGATGATGATGATGATGATGATGATGATGATGATGATGATGATGATGATGATGATGATGATGATAGTGGTGGTGGTGATGATGATGCTGCTGCTGATGGTGATGATGATGATGATGATGATGATGATGATGATGATGCTGCAGCTGCTGATGCTGCTGCTGCTGATGATGATGATGATGATGACGAGCAGGAGAAGGAGGAGGAGGGGAAGGGGGAGGGGGAGGGGGAGGAGGAGGAGGAGGAGGAGGAGGAGGAGGAGGAGGAGGAGGAGGAGGACAAATGTACTTGGCATCGCTCGGACGTATGATTTGTTCTTTCGGCGAGGACCATCGAGGAGCATCCCTGATCATCTGGCAAACCAAAGCACCGTATTCGCGCTAACGGCAATGTAGGTAACGGCGATGCAGGTTTCGGCATTGTAGGTGGGACTGGTTCGTGGCCAAACCGATTATAGGACATGGTGATTCGCGCTTTCCTGCAATTCGCTGCGCCGTTTTCGTTCGATACATTCGCACATTTGAAATGTAGGAAAGTGTGGTTCGCGATTTCCCACAATTTGTCGTGCGCGAGCTAGGTGTCACAAAAAAATATGCCCAACATCGCTGTCAACCAACATCGCCGTTAGCGCCGCCTTGGAAACACAAACACGAAGCCGAACAATGCACGGGGAATGGACATCCAAACGATTCCAAGTGGAAACCCAAGACGCACCAACGACTCTGCAATCAACTTCCCTCCGAGGTCTCGTGTCATGGAGTTGCGAAGCCTGTATTTCCATTACGGGAAGTGGTCCATTCGCTGCAAAACAGAATTCTTGAGACATCACCGCCGCGGATCAACGTGACAGCTGCGTCCTGATACTCTGGTATCACACCAGGACGCCATTCCTGGGGCTGCAGTGCAACACAGCGAGGCATCGTCATTGTTGCGTACTGACTGTCCGAAACCGTGCTAGAAAATCCATGGCTGGGATTTTCTTCGGCCGTACGAACCCTTGAAACGGTTGTAGGCGGCGCTGAGGCGAGAGCCACACTTGGAAACCGATGCACCCTCCATATTTGAACATGTGGAAGACTGGAAGACTTTGAGACGAACGCGCGTGACGCTAACACGCGAGAGCAGGATTTTGGAAACCACCGCCTCCTAACACCGAAATTGCTGCATACGTTTAAGATGAATGCGTGCGGCGCTAACATGCGAGAGCCGCATTTTGAAAACAACTCGCCGTCCACCCGTGAATTGACTGCATACGTTTCAGGCGAATGTGCGCGGCGCTAGAAAGCGAGATCCACATTTTGAAAGCCACACGCCATCCATCAGTGAGCTTGTTGCGACTGTCAAGCCTTAGGATCATTAATGGCGAGGGAGTCCCAGGCGAAACGCATGGCCCGCCCTTCCCACACGTCTGGGGGCGTGACAGAGCGGAGTTATTTATACGGACAGTTGTGGAGGAGGAGGAGGAGGAGGATGAGGGAGGAGGGCGATGAGAAGGAGGAGGCGGAGTAGGAGGGGGAGGAGGAGGAGGAGGAGGAGGAGGATGAGGAGGAGGAGGAGGAGGACGAGGAGGAGGAGGAGGGGAAGAGGAGGAGAGGAAGAGGAGGCAGGAAGGAAGAGGGAAGAGGAGGACGGGGAGGAGGGTAAGGCGGAGGAGGGCAGGGGTGAGGAGCGGATGGGGATGAGAACGCTGGCGCACCAGCACTGTGCAGCATCTTCGCGCCAAGCATCGTTGGGCGGCAGCCGAGGCGCAGAGAAGCATCGGCAGGACGCCTGGATTGGCGATGTCCGCGGCTGGCCCGCGACATGTCAGATGCCTCGAGCCCCCGCACACCACTGTCGGTGCCTGCTGACAGGGCCCCTGGCCCTTCTCGAGAGGCAACAAAGAAGCAGCAGGCGCGCGCGCGACCGCCCTCCCTTTCCTCGAAGAAGAACACCTCTCATAAACATACACTTTCGGAGGTCCGCGCGGATCTCTTGGATCGGCGCTGGGCCAGAGGTCCACCCTGGTCAGCGGGCCCTCGAGGACCAGCTGCTTACCAGCCTGGCCGTGCCAGTACTGCGTTGCGCCCACCGCGGGGGCTCCCAGGCCAGCCGGCCCGCTCAGGCGCAGGGCCCCCGCGGGCAGCGGTACCGCTGCCTTAGAGGAACCAGAGAAGGCATGCCGCGCAAGGTAGGGGGGCCCAGCGCTGATCCAAGAAATCTCTGAGAGCCTCCGAAAGTTTGTGTTTGCTGTCCGTTGTTTCTCTTGCTGTTCCCCCCCCCCCCGCACGCGCGCCGCAGCTTGGCATGCAGGCCTGCAGGGGCGAGAGCTCCCAGCCTTCGATCTGGACGCCGAAGGCGCACGGCAGCACCGCCAACTGCCGGCTGCCCAGCGGAGTGCGTCGGGGCCCAGCGGTGGCAGTCGCCCAGTGCGCCATACTCTTTTCGAGAGCCCGAGGCTGCAGTACTGCGCCCGAGCTGTTCCATGGTCTCAGTGTGCCCTCCTTCCCTCTGCCCTTCGAGGCCGACTCTGTTTCTTCCTCCGAGCGCCTTCTGTGCGTAGGTTTTGACCGCGGTGCTATCCTCCCACCACGGCCGACCAAGAAACGTTGGGGGGGGCACCCGGGTTAACGAGGCCAACTTGTGGGAGCATGTTTGCGTCCACTGCGCAATTTCGTGACAACATGATGGGCGCAGTGTGTGGATGCATGCTGCGTCCAGCCGATTAGCTGCGTCAGCGCCTGCACGTCGCAGCGCGATCGTAATAAGTTGATGTTGAGGAGGAGGAGAAGGAGGAGGAGGAGGAGGAGGAGGAGGAGGAGGAGGAGGGGGACGAGGAGGAGGACGACGACGAGAACGAGAGCGAGAACGAGGACGAGGAGGGCTAGTCAACGTGGAAGACTGGCGGAGCTCACAGGCATACGTGCCGCATGCTGGCACGCAACAGATCGCCACATCGGCCTCTTTCTGGGGCAGCGCGTGGCCCGAGCTGCTCCCGTGGACACCTGAAGGACCTGCACCGAGTGCATGAAGATGGACTATCGAGTGAAACAACCCAGACCTTCCAGGAGGACTAACAAACTAGCACCTGGACCGAAATATCAAATTTCCAGTCGAGGTTTGAAGCAGTCCGGATAGGTCAAGAGGCCTGGAGTGTTCTTTCAGCACTCTGGAAGGTCAGGGACCGAAGGACCATCGCAGCAACACTGCGGCACCTCCGGCGCACCCTGCCCGGAGCTTCCCTGGAGGCTCTCGCCGGGGACCGTTGGCCCGCGTGCCGCGCCGCCGCTGCTGGCCCACTGCGCCGTCCGCCGCCCGCTCCCCCCCCGCGCGACACGCGCCCCGAGCTTCCTCTCGAGCCCCCCGCCCTGCGGAGCGGAGCGGCGCTGACCAGTCTGGAGCATGTCCCTGCCCCTGTGTTCGGCACCAGATCGCCGCACTGACGATCTGAGGGGCTCCCTCCGTTTCTGAGGGCGCCTCCCTGAGATTGTCCTCGCTTGTTCTTGGCATCGCTCGGACGTGTGCATTTTTCCTTCGGCGAGGACCATCGAGGAGTATCCTTGATCATTTGGCGAAAAAACCACGCACGAAACCGACAAAAAACACAGGAAATGGACGTCCGAGCGATGGCGAGTGTTGCTCGCCCATCTGAGGGGTTAGGGACGAGCTCGAGGCTGGTTGGACACGCCCTTCCTTCTGTGGGGCGCAGCGTGCCGCCGGGGCCGCCGCGACGAAAGGGCGCCCTGGCCGTGGCGACGGCGGGAGGCGCAGGCGCCGAGGCCGCACGGCCTCGCCGCGCGCGCGGCACGGAGGGCCCTTCGGCCGGAGGCGACGGCAGGGGCGCATAATGCGGGATGACGATTATTTTAAAAAATAGGAGAGAACGATTAAAATAATAGTTTCCTGCGATTTCTGTACAATTTTCTGACTGGAGGAGAACGTTTAAAAGATAGGTTTCCAGCCCGCGGCCGGTTTTCTGTAATCGTCATCCCGGGCGCCGCCGCGTGAACACGACCTCCGGTCATTTATTAATCGTCATCCTCCATGAGCCCAGGGGGGAGCACTGCGCCCATTCGCCCGGGAGCCTCGCCAGAAGCACGGGTCGACCATCGCCGCGCTTGGGCATACCCTAACCTCCGACGTCCTGGTCTGTACAGGACGCCGACCTGCAGAGGGCTCGACCCATCTTCCCTGGGACCGTTTCTCATCCCGCGTCGCTTTTTGACGGTCCCGAGGCTTGGTAAAAGGGCCCCTGGAGGCCGAAAATCACAAACAACCTCCCGTCGCGATTTTCGTGACTCGAGTGGTCTGGGCATGCATTGATCTCCCCCGGGCTATTCTCAGGAGGGAAAAAACACAGACACAAGTAATCGTCGACTCCCAAGTAAATATGGGAAAAAGATGGGAAGCGGGGGGGAAGACACAAACCCAGAACATATTGAACAATATATGGAATCCTCTTATTATTTGTCTATATATATGTGTCTGTGTGTGTGTCCGAGGACCCCATCCACATTCGCCCTCATCGTCGCCCCCGATCTGGGGCCGCACGGCACGGCGCGGCCTCCCGGGGGCAACTTCGCGGGGGGGCCGGCTGGCTCTTCTTCTGTGAAGTCGGGGCAGGCTCAATTCGGTGACGGAGGAGGAGGAGGAGGAGGAGGAGGAGGAGGAACAGGAGGAACAGGAGGAACAGGAGGAGGAGGAACAGGAGGAGGCGGTGGAAGAGGAGGAGGAGGAGGAGGAGCAGGAGGAGGTAGACCCCCCGCTTCCGATGCAGCGACGTGTGCTGCCGGAATCGGTCCCGGTATAGTGTTGGTGCTGTGGGCGGGGAGGGGCCTGGACCGAGCAGGAGGCGCTTCTCATGGGAGCAGCTGGGATGGTCGATTATGGCGACGAGGGTGCGGAACAGGACGGGGGGACGAGAAGACGAGCGTGCAGGAGTGGGCAGGAGGAAGAAGGCGAGCACTGGGCAAGGCGGGGGGGGGCCAATGGAAGGCAGATCCCACAGGAGGTGTAGAGGAAAGGCAAGAGCGAGGAGGGAGAGTAGAGGAGCGAGGTAGAGGGGGGGGAGCAGAGAGAAGAAGGGTTCAGTGGCAAATCGTGGGAGCCTGGTCTACCCTCTTAATTTGATCCTTAGCGTCGACTAACGTCGATTGGCGTCTGGGAACGGATGAGATTGCGCAGGTTTAGCGTCGGCTAGCGTCGATTAGCGTCGATTTAGCGTCGATTCGCGTCGATTTAGCGTCGATGAGCGTCGATTCGCAAGAGCCGACAAGATGGTCGGGAGGCTCCGATGACTTGCCGCCGAAGTGGGGGAACAGGGAGGAATGAGGAGGGCCGCGGAAGGTCCAGGGTCCGCATTACGGAACAAGGAAATCGCAGTACATAGTCAGGAACGTAAAAATCAGGTGGTTTTGCAGAATTCACCCCTTCAGGATATAGGACGACCACCTTTTGTCCCAGGGTCGTCGGGATAAATACTGCGCCATCGTGCGTTGGCAACGCAATGGTTCCGCACACTGTCGGCTTATTGCCAATGGTGCCTCGGTCTAGAGGGGGGGTCTAAGGGCACGCCTCGGCACGCCTCTGTCGTGCGCGCTCCTGGTTGCGCCAGGAATCACATCTCCGTCTCCTGATCTTGCTTTTGGTAGCTGTGGTGGGGCGGAGGTACAAGTTTGTCACCTACAGCGGGGGCTCATGCCAAGAAACACCCTGCTTGCCTCCAGGATGCCCCGGGTTTCTTGGGTTTCGATGGTTCTGCCATGGGAAAGCGTGACGTCCCTACACCAAATATCGATGGACGTCCTGGGGGTCTCAACTTGTAGAAGGTTTCGTTTGGTCGGGCCACTACCTGTAGCTCAAGAGTTGACCCTTGTCCGAAAGGCCCCAGGGGCCTGCGTCCACAGCCCGCCCACCCGCGCGCCGGCGAGCGCGCGCAGCTCCCCGCAAGGACCCTGTGCAGGGTGGCTGCTCACTGATTGGGCCCCGAAGCCCCAAGCACTTGCCAGAATCACTGAACCGAGCCTGCCGCAGCGGCTGTTTCTTCGGGTGACGGCGCTTCTGGTTGGTGGAATCGGGCGGGGGGGCGTCCCCCCGTACACATCACTAAACCAGGTCCCACTGAACCCAGTGCCGCCAACGTCCGATGGCTGCGCACCGCCTCCTCTCGGGGGCGCAAAGGGGGAACGCAGCTCTGACGTTCGAGGTTTTTTGGGGCGTTTTCGCATGCTGCGGATGGCTTTCCAGCCTCGGGGCGTTCACCAGCAGCTGCTCCCCGAGAGGCATCTGAGCGTGCCCGGATCATACCCAACGGAGGTTCGAGTCATGGCCCGAAAACCACCGAGGACGTGGATAAGCTCGCGGGAGGAGGGGGGACACATCGACCCCCCAATGGCCCACTCATCGCCGACAGGGGCCCGACGGCCCATCCCGCCCAAAAACGTGCGGCTTCGGCGTCGGCGGCCCATCGCCGATCCATCGGCGATGTGTCGCAGACTCCAAGTCGAGGTTTTCTCCGCTCGAGCTGGTCCCCCGAAACAACTCGGCAGAAACGTAAACTTTCGGAGGTCCGCGCGGCGATTTCCTGGAGCGGCGCAGAGCTCCCTTCCCTTGAGCTCCGGCGCGCGCCCAGGGGCGGCGCCGGAGGCGCCGCCAGGGGGCGGTCTCAACCGCCAGAGCGGTCTCAACACCCTTCGGCGACGAGCGAAGGATTGCAAAAACGAAGGATTGCAAAAAAAAAACGAAGGATTGCAAAAAAAACGAAGGATTGCACGAAGGTTTTTTTGCAATCCTTCGGGTTTTTTTGCAATCCTTCGTTCAAGGGGGGGGGAAATCAGAAGGAGAAGGCCTTCGCAGAAGGCGGCGGGGCTTCTCAGAAGGCCCCCGGCCTCCTGAGAGGCTCTTTGTGTCTCCGGCGAAGGCCTGGTGGGAAACTCCTCAGAAGGCCGTGGGACCTCCGAGCCACCTGAGAAGGGCCGCCCCTTCTCGTCAGGCCAGCCACAACTGGGGGAGCTGTGGTCCTTACCCCCCTGGGGGACCCCTCGATTCCGACACCCCTCTCGAGAGATCGTCGATGCGATGGGTTCCCCCAGGGGGTAAGGACCACAGCTCCCCCAGTTATGGCTGGTCGGCTCGTGTCCTCCCCCCCCTCGCTCGCCGCCGAACCCTGGCGCCGCCTCCAGCGGCGCCTCTGGGGCGCTCCGCGCCCCCAGGAGTTGGGGTACTGAGGCCGCCCCGGGCCTCTTCTCCTGGCAGGCCTGCTGAGGCCTTTCAGGGGGACTGTCCACCTCCTCCTCCTCCTCCTCCTCCACCTCCCTCCACCTCTTCCACCTCTTCCACCTCCTCCTCCTCCTCTCCTCCTCCTCCTCCTCCTCCTCCTCCTCCACCTCTTCCACCTCTTCCTCCTCCTCCTCTTCTTCCTCCTCCTCCTCCTCCTTTTCCTCCTCCTCCTCCTCCTTCTTCTCCTTCTCCTTCCTCCCTGAGCCTTACCACCTGGATACTTCAGGAAGCACTGTGCCAGATGCATAGTGCAGTATGCAGCGGCACCCGCCAGGGCATCGAGACAAAGCTGTTTGCGGAGGGGGGGGGACAGAGGGTGGGTCGCGGGAGGAGGGAGGGCGGAGCGGGGGAGGAGGGATGAGAGGAGGGACGGGGGATGGAGGGAGGACGGAGGCGGCAGGAGCAGGAGAGGGAGCATATGTTCTGGCACGTTCCTGTTCCATTGGGTGGTGGGTGCATGGACGTTTTGTGTCAGCAGCAGCATGAGGAAGAGCAAGCGGGAGCGGGACGAGGGCACGGCCGAGGGACAGGAGGAGGGGGTGAAAGAGGAGGAGAATGATGAGGAGGAGGAGAATGATGATGATGATGATGATGATGATGATGATGATGATGATGATGATGAGGAGGAGGAGGAGGAGGAGGAGGAGGAGGAGGAGGAGGAGGAGGAGGAGGAGGAGGAATTTGGGGTGAGACGGAGCGCTCTGAAAGTTGTGTGCGTGTTGCTTGCAGGAATCGGCGAGACCAGGGTTTGCGGAGCTCCAGGCCGCCGGGGGTTGGCACCAGCCTCCAAATGATCAGCCTGAGAAGAGCTGGCCGTCCTGACTGCTGCTCCAGACGCCTCAGGGGGGGGGGGGGGGGCAGCGAACACGGAAGGGCAGGGCCGGGAGGGGGGCCCGCAAGAGTGGCCCTCTCTTGCGGGCCCGCAGGGCTCTCCGCAACATCCGGCCTGCGCGCACGGATGCGGCCCCCCCCGCGGCCCCCTCGGGCCGCGCGCCAGAGGTCGCTCGTGCCCGGGGTCGCGCTCGTCGTGTGGGCGCCTCTGGGGAGGCCCCCCCCCACCCGGCCTCCCACGAGGTGCGCGCGGCGGACCCCTCCTGAGGGGGACCCCGCGGAGGGGAGCACCGACTGCGCGGCCGTACGCCGCTGCAGAGCCGCCAGCCCGGCGCCGCTCAACGCACCGCTCGCGCGTCGCAGCGCGGCAGTCCGTGCGGCAAGCGGCACCAATCGCCGTCTCGAGGCGCCTCCCTACAGCACAGCCCCTGCCTCAACTTCGAAGAGCAAGCAACGGCATAAGCTCAACTTCTCTGGGCTCCGTGCGGGTTTCTTGGGTCGGGCCCTGTTTCGAAGAGCAACGCACGGCAAATACATAATTTCTCGGAGCTCCGCGCAGATTTATTGGATCGGCGCTGGGCCCCGCTGGCGTCACCTCCAGCGCCGCCCCTGGCGCGCGTCGCGCCATCCAAGCAATCCGCGCGGGCCCCGAAGATCCCCTTGCCCGCCGCCAGCGAGGGGAGAGAGGAGGGCTGCATATGTGCAGGACAAGAGGGACGAGCCAGAGCTGCTCCCCGTGGTGGCCAGCACCGACTTCACCGAGGCGGGCGGGTGGAAGGATGGCCTGGGGCCATTGGAGGAGGAGGTGGAGGCCGAGGAAGGGGCTCGGACAGCAACTCATGGGAGCTTTGTGTGTCGTCTGGGGTGCATGAGCGTACGCTAGCGTGTTGTAATCGATGAGAAGGTGCTGATTCCGCGTCGACGATCAGCGTCGGCTCGCGTCGATCAGCGTCGGTGAGCATCCATTCGCAAGGGCCAGCAAGATGGAGGCGCAGAGGAGAGGCGATGTGACGGCGAGACGGCGAGAGAGGGTTCACAGGAGATACACAGGTACCGATGCCATTATCCGTCCCTCGTGGCCACGGCTGGATTCGCCTCGGAATGTGTGTGTGTGTGTGTGTGTGTCAGAACACGCCCCTCGACATGTCCGAGGAAAAGCGGGATCGCTACCTTGTGGTTCTCCCATGGTTAACGTGGAAAAATCTGGCGAGGGTCATTCTGCAGAGCGTCGATCCTGGCCGGCGGCATCTGGCCGTCGCGCAGGGGAGGCAGGGCAGCCTGCTCGCGGCGGCGCCGCTACCGGCTACGCGTGGGAGGGACCCTTCGCCGGAGTGACCTCTGGGTGCGGGCCCGCAGGGGCCCTCCCAGCATTCGGGCAGTGGCGGAGCGTCCTGGCTCGCCTATGGCCCTACCCAAAAAATGTTCTGAGAACCTTTTGAGGTTCCAACGAACTATTCTTAGAACATTTCTGGCTGGGACTGTCTTCTTTCAACACATCGGGTTTATGTTCTAAGAACATTGTTTTTTGGTCTTAGAACATTGTTGGGTTCTAAGAACATCTCGTGGTATGACTATAGGAATGCCAGGACGGTCGGTCCCTGCTCAACAGCATTGGCCTGCGTGCCTGGATCTGGCATTCCCAGTGGCCCACTCCAGCTGCGCACCAAAGATCCTCCTCCTCCTCCTCCTTCTCCTCCTCCTCCTCCTCCTCCACGCTAGCACCCTTGACGCATGGGGCCATCACTTTCAGAAACGCGCTGCTGCTGCCGCGAGCCCTGACAATGGGCAAGGCGCGTGGTGCCGTGTCGGAAGCAGCGGCCTCTCGACGCCGAGTTTCTCCCCGCAAGGGCTTCCAGCACCCGTTCTGCATGCCTTTTGGCTGGGCCCGATGGTTGACACTCTGGGAGTGGACCTGGTGCAGCAGGTCGTCCTCCTTCCCGCACGCGAGCTGTTTCACGACCAGCTGCAGAGGTTTCTGGGCAAGACCTTCTGCGAGAGCCTACCCACAGCTCCAAGAGCTGTGCCAAGATCAGCGCCTCTGACATGAGCCAGTCCAGGCTCAACAACTCCCCTCGCGCACGACTGCAGCGTCGCCCGACACTGCCGCGCCCCCGCCGACAGCCACCAGGGAGAAGTCACCAGCCTGACCAAACGCCGGCAGGAGACGGGGGGATGGGCAACGCCAGTCTCACGAGACCACCACTCGCACAGAGTACACCTTGGCCCTTGGCGAAGCCCAAGTGCTCGCGATCGACCTGTTCAAAGCCGCCGGATGCAACTGATAATGGCCCAAGATCTTGCGCATCTGCCTCCGCCGCGGTGCCCAACGCTGCGCCTTCCATCCCTGGTTCCGGGTCGCGGATAACTTTCAGCAGCGCGCAGCGCGACCGTCGTGAGACCGGGAAATTTGCTTTTTGGACGTCATCACATTTGGGCGCACCTGGAAGACACCAAATCTATTCTTCGAGCCATGTATCTCTCATATACAAGAAACCTGGCCCCGGGGGTCTCGGGGCCAAACAAAGACCACCAGAGGCCACGGTTGCATACGAAGTGCCCCCTCCTCCTCCCCGAGCCTCCCTAGGGCGTCCCCACCTCTCCCCGGAGCCTTCCCTGAAGCCCCCGGACCCACCGTAGAAGTTTCGGACGTCCCAGATGGCTTCCACACTGCGCCAGGACGGCCGAAGGTGGCCTCCAGACGGCCCAAGAGGCCCCCCAGACGCCCCAGGACGGCTCCAAGAGAACCCCCCCGAGGGCCCCGAGCGGCAAACATCTTATCGTTTGTTTTGTTTTAGGAAGTTTGGCCTATTCACATGTTGGTCCTACCAGCGTCCCAGGCGGCCCCAAGAGGCCCTCAATGGCGCCCTTATGCCGCCGAAGAGGCCCTCGAGGAACCGCAATGAACCCAAGATGGCCCCAGAACGGCCCAAGAAGCGCCCAAGACAGCTAAAAGGTGCACCAGCAGGGCCCCAAGATGCCCAAAATAGGCTCCCAAGCGCCCCCCGAGCGACCCTCCGACCAAGGTGGCCCCCAGAGCATCCAGGCGGTCTCCAAGAGGCCCCCTGAGTCCCCAAAGAAGCTTGCAAGAAGCCCCCAAGAGGCACCCAAAAGGCCTTAATAGACGCCCAAGTGGCCCACACGAGTCCCCCGAGCGGCCCCGTAGAGACTACAAGATACATCTTGCACGCTTCAAGTCGAAGACACTTACATTCTAGAAGCTGCACAAACACTCTTCACTTCACTCCTCTTCATCCTCTTACTCACCCTCCTCCTCCTCCTCCTCCTGCCTTCTCCCCCTCTCCCCCCCCCCACCCCTCCCTCCTCTCCCCTGCTTCCTCCTCCCGTCTCCCTTCCGCCATCCTCTCTCGTTCTCTTGCTCTCCTTCATTTCCTGCTGCCTTCTCCTCCCTTCACCCTCCTCCGTCTCCCTCCACCTGTTCTCGTTCCCCCTCCATCTCTCCTCATTCTTCTTCCTCCGGCTACTCAATGTGATTTCAGACACCATCGCGGAGGCTTCCAAGCGAAGGGCTCGTTTATCCAGGCACGGCCTCTCTGACGCGCCAAACTCTTGGCCGCCTTGCAAGGAGAACTTGGGCGCGCGCGAAGCGCACGATGATTCTAGCATCTAATGGCCTTCGGCCCATCCCGCCACCGTGCCTGCGTTGTGGGAATGGAGCCTGTCGGATGTTCCTTGGGATCTCGTGGGAGGCCTCTCGGGTGCCTCTTGGAGGCAGTTGTGAGGCCTCTTGGGGGCCGTTTTGGGGCTTCTTGGGGCCTTTTTGGGGCCTCGCGGGTGCCTCTTGGGGCCTCTTGGGCGCCTCTTGGAGCCTCCTTGGGGGCTTCTCGCCCCATCCTTCCTCGACGACTTCACAGTCTGAGTACTACGGTGGAGGCGTTCGTTGAGGAATGTGCCCAGGAGGCCCCAAGAGGAGGATAGAGGCGAAATCAGCGCAATGGGAAGGGATTGGTGGTAGGGGTGGGGTGTCAGATATGGCGCGAGCGTGCCCAGCTTGCCCTCCCTGGTCTCTCCCTCCTCTCCCCCTCCTCGCCCTTTGCTCCACCTCCTCATCCTCCTTACCCTCCTCCTCCCTCCCACGACTCTCGATCGGAGGCTCGGCAGTCGCTGTGCCTGTGCGAGCGCAGCCCCGCGACAGGTGAGCCGCACGGTGCAGATCCCGCAGTACCGCGAACGCGCAGCACGCGCCTCGAAGGGGGAGTACATCGAGGCCGCGGGGCCTAGCCAGCGAGAACAAGCCGGTGTTGGCGGAGGAGGAGGAAAAAGAGTCGGGCGGGGCTAGGACGAGGATAAGTCTGTTCCAGAGCGTTCAGAGCTTTCCGGAGCTCTCTGAAAAGGCCGCGGCGCCCGATACATCTTCCAGAGCTGCCGGATCTCAGAGATTCTCGACTTCTGCTCTCCCGATGTCAACCTCGAGGAGAACAGATGGTATCAGCAAGACAATCACTAGATTATGGTATTACCTAATAGCGATAAGTTATCCGTGGTTCCCTGGTTCCCTACGGGATGCTTGAGCTGCCTACACGAGCTTCTTTGAATTCCTTTGGACTCTCAGGACTTCCACGATTCCCTGGACTTCGTCGGCTCATGCGACCCCGCTCCCTTGACTCCTTCGACTCCCTCGACCCACGGGGCCCGAGTCCAGAGGGTCCAGGGTTTTCAGGAAGTCCAAGAAGTCGGGGGAACCGTCTGAGATCAGGGGGTCCAGGGAGCCCAGGGGATCCAGGGAGTTCAGGGGATCCAGGGAGTCCCAGAAGTATCTCGGGTGCAGAAAGACCATCCAGTTCTGGGAGCCAGCGAAATCCAGGAAGCCCAGGAAGTCTTTGGGGTCTAAGGGGGCCAGGAAATCTAGGGAACCCATCGTCTCCCTGGATTCCCTTGGCCCTGGATTCTTTGGGCGATCTGCATTCGTTCGATTCCCTGGACACGCTGGATTCTTTATATCCCTTGAGCGCAATGGGGAGGAGTAGAGAGAAGAGGAGGGGGCGGATGGTCTTCTCGGTAGGGAGGGATGCATTGGTATCCAGAGCGCCCCAACGTCTTTAGGAGACAGGAGTCTTATTCCGACGATAGGGCCCTACATGAGAGTCTACTCAGATTGCTCTTCGCTCTGTCCTCTTCGCCCTGGCCGAAAACCCGCGTCTCGCCCTCTGTCGCGCCTCCTCCTCATCCTCCTTGCCTCCCTCGTCCTCCGTGTCCTCCTCCTGCTCGCCCTACGTGTTCAATGTTTCCTTTTCCTCTCTGTCGTTTTCCTCCCCCTCCTTAATATCCTCCTTCTTCCCCCCTCATCTCAACCCCGCCTGTTCTCCTCATGCCCCCTTCCTTCCTCCTGGCAGGGGGGCGCATGCCGATTTTCCTCGGCGCCCTCGCCGCGGCGCCCGGCAGGGGCGCGTTCTACGATGGCAAAGTCGCGATGCCGTTGGGGCAACGACAGTTGAAACAACCCCGCGAACCGCTGGGGCGCGAGAATAAGCCGTTGGGACAACCCCGCGCGCACCGAGTTGGTTGCGGCCGCGCCCAGGTTGGATGCATCACGAAGTTCAGCTCAGCCGCGAACTGCTCCGCATCAGCCATGGGGTCCACAGTCAGTCCAGAAGAGCCGAGAAACGACGACAGTTACAGGTTTCCGATGACACTCTCGAATTGCCAACGTGAAGTGCGGACCCCGTGGGGAAGGGACTCCCGCCTGAGACTCCTTGCCGTTCGCTCACAGACGAGGCTGCCGCCTGAGACCTCTTCCGCATTCAGTCCAGAGGAGCCGAACCGTGACGACAGTTGCAGGATTCCATTGGCCCGTTCGGCCTACCAAGATGAAAGCGGACCCCATAGGGACGGGGTTCCCGCTTGAGACTTCTTCGCAAGTCGTTCCCAGACGAAGCTCCCGCCTGAGATTCCTCCTTCTTCAATCCAGAGGAGCCGATAAGTGACGATTGTTACCGGGCTCCGATGACCCGCACGGATTACCAACCTGAAGTGCGGACCGCATATGGAGAGGGTTCCCGCCTGAGACGTCCTCGCGGTTCACTCACAGACGAAACTCCCGCCTGAGACTCCCGCCGCACTCAATTCAAAGGAGCCGATATGTGACGACAGCTAAAGAAGTCCTGTCACCCGTTCGCATTACCAACGTGAAATGCGGACCTCATGGGGGGAGGGCTCTCGCCTGATATTTCTTCGCAATTTAAACGTAAAGCTTCCGCCTTTGACCCCCCCGTCTTCAATCCAGAAGAGCCGAAAAGTGACGAAGGGTTACAAGATCCCGTTGGCCTTTTCGGAGTAAAAAATGAAAGCGGACTCCAGAAGGACGGGGTTCCCGCTTGACGCCTATGCGCCCACAAACGAAATTCCGCGTGGGACTTCCTCCATTTTCAAGGAGAAAGAGCCGAGCACTGACGGCAGCTACAGGGTTCCGATGACCTGCCCGGATTACCAACTCGAAACACGAACCCCAGATGGAGGAGGCTCCCGCCTGAGACTTTTTCGCAAGTAACTCACAAACGAAGATCCCGCCTGAGACTTCCTCCGTGTTCAATCTTGAAGAGCCGAACTGTGACGACAGATACAGGATTCCGATGGCCCGCTCGGATTACCAACAGGAATTGCGGACCCCATACGGAGGGTGCTCGGGCCTGGCAGTTCTTTGCGCGTCACTCACAGCCAAGGCTCTCCTTTCGGTCGATGATCACGATTGGATGGTGATCGTGATGAATGTGTGATGATACGGACGGTGGTGGTGAGTTGGTGATCTTGGCGCTCATGATGAGTTGTGCGGATATGATGATGAAGGCGATGTTGATGATGAGTGAGTGAGTGTGCGTGTGTGTGTGTGTGTGTTCGTGCGAGATTGCGTGCTGATGATTACGAATGAGTGTGTATGTGTGCTGGTGATGCTGATGGTGATTCTGATGATGGAGAGTGTGCAGAAGAGGTGGGACGCCATGCCGCGCCGAGGTGTGCAGAGGAAACAAGAACGTAGGATGTAGGATCCAAAACAACAATCCAAACAAATTCTTCTTACTGCGATTCCCTTCCCTCAGCCGTCCCGTCCTATCCCCTTGTCCTCTCCCTTTTCCAAAGACCTCCGGCGGATTTGTGCTCCCAGTCGCGGGCCCCCCACCATCCGTCGGGGCAGTTGTTTGGTCCAGCGCCTATCTTTTTTATTCAAGAGGCTTATGCCATTCCTCCGAACCCCCAGAAAAGGGTAAGGAGACAACGGTTCGCCATATATTTGAGCCTGGTTGGAGTTTTTGGCTGGCATTGCGGTGGCCTTCGGCCCATACAGCTAAATCTACATATCTAAACAGACACATACGCATATATACATGTATATATATATTACCATACGTATACACATACACATTCATATCCATCTTTGTATATATAAATATACATACATATTCACATGCATACAAGTACACGTATACGCATACACATACATATACATCTACATATGCGTATATACATGCACATGTATGGCATGCCGATAAACAAATACACATACAGATGCATGCCCACATACATATAATTATACACATACAGATACACTATACAGTTACACCTACATATACATAAACATACACATACACAGTTACATCGTCATATAAATATACACACCTGCACATACACATACATCTACATATGCATATACACATACATATACATATGGGTATATGTATGCACACATAATTGCATGCACATGTACATACACATACACATACACACATATACAAATATCGAGAGAGATGTTATATATTCAAGCGTACGTACATCTACATATGATGGTCTTCGCCAGCCCATCCCAGTGCCTCTTGGGATCCTGTGGAGGGCTTCCTGGGGGCCTCTTAAGGGGGTTTCTTGGAGCTTTTTGGGGGCCTCTTGGGGCCTCCAGGGGGCCCCTCGGAGCGAGGGCTTGAAATGTCCGTTCGTATCCCCCGTCTGGGCCCCCTTTGGGATCTTGCCTTGGACAGTCTTCGAGGCATCTTGGGCCGTCTTGGGGCCCTCTTGGTCGGGGCCCTCTTGGAGGCCTCTTCGGCTGCCTTGGGGCAATATTGTTGGCCTCTTGGGCCGTCTTGGAGCGTGGGGAAGCCGAAAAGGCGAGAACGCTAGAATCATTCAAAACCTTTGTGTGCCTCTTGGGGGTGCTCTTAGGGCCCCCTTGGAGCTTCGTCGATTCGTCAAGGCCTCTTTGACCGCCTTGAGGTCATCTTGGTCGCCTGGGAGCGATCATGGGCGGCTTGGGGCCCTGTGGAACCATCTGGGCGGCCTCCCGTGGCTTTCTTGGCCGGTTTTGCGACCCTCCTGGCTTCCAGGAGACGCGCGCGCGACAGACCCTGGAAGCTCCCGGCAATTCTTGGGAGCGCCGGGACATAGGGGGAATGGGGAATGATAGCCTTGCACACCCTCTACCTCCCAGAGCTGCATGAGCCTTTGGGCACTCCACTTCGTGCCAGAGGCACGGCGGCGGATACATGTTTGTATACACATTCTTCTATATATATATATATATATTTATTTATATCCGTAAGGGCTTCGCCCCCTGCCGCCGGCCCCCCCTCTCTCGGAGAATGGGCCATGGAAGAGCTAAGTCATGAGGCCTTGGCGCTGTTGTGAAGCAGTATCGAAACTTCATGCGAAGCCGAACGCAATCAGCAAAACCAACTGATCACAAGAGGGGTTACCACACCTGGCGATTGGTAAACTTTAAACGGAGAAGGTTAAAGGCGAGGTATAAATCGAGCATGTACCGCTGCCGTGCCTGGCTCAAGCCGGGCCCGGCCAAATATGTGATTGTGCCTCACCGAGGCGCACGACTTGCATCAGAGATCGGAAAATACCTTTTCCATTGACGATGCCCATCCTATCCTTTACTCCAGATCCCATGCTTCGTCTTGCTCTCTTGCTCATGCGATATGAGCCAAAGCCTGGGATATGGCAACGCTTAAAGCGTAACACATACCTAAGCTTACCAGCTTGTTTTCGACTTGGTAGCGGAGCTGGCTACACTCTCGTGTGGCTGGCTCTCGCTCTGATTCCAGTAATCCACGGCACAACTTGGTGGACTACTACTACGGTGGAATACCATGTTGCGCCGGCTCTGCGAGGAGCGGAGCCAGTCCGCGATCGAGCTAGCGGGGCAACCCGCGAACTCGAGACGCTCTCTCCTACTTCACTGCGCTACTTCACTCTCGACTTCCACCAGATGCCAATCGG